AAATAATCGCTAATTAGAGATTAGTTGGACAATTTTTCTTTCAAGTAATCGATTAGTGCATCAACTCCGGGATCTTTCATACATTTAATGATACTAATAACAGTAGTATTACCACTTATGGCACTTTACAAGACGTTTCACATAACTCCCTACACAGTGGTGATAGACTTCTACTGTAGCCATAGCTGCCCTGGGGCACACTGACGGAAGTGAGGCAACCCTTTGACCACCACCAACCTTTGACACACACCAGGCTCAGACTAGACAATGTGGGTGAAGTGTCTTGCCCAAAGTCGCAACACCAGTTTGGGACTTTGACCAAAACAAAGCTAAAGCGATGCCACTCAAGAACGTCTTCATAGCGTTTTGGTAACACAATTGGTTATTGTTTGTTGTTGCGATTAATCAATTGACTTTTTATAGCTGTAGTGGCGATAGTATGTAACAATTCTATAGGCTGCTTTACAAATACACTGACATTTCCCCATTGTGGGAGGAAAACAAGTTCTGGGACCTCTCTTATTTTCTCTAATCTTCAAACATTAAAGACGGATGGGTGTTCTTTCAGGGGGTTTTGTGTTGTTGAATGAATCTGCTGGTATTTGCATGTAACAGCCATGACCATGGAGGAGCCTCTCTGTATGAAGTGCTGTGTTTATGGTGGGATGACCTTGTGAAAAGCCTGTTTCCGCTCTGATGATGATGAATGAGTGAACTTTCCGGACAAACCTGCCTTGACACATCCTCCAGCCACGATTATTGGACAAACTCCCTTTTGTAACCACCGTCGTCTCCTACACTATCCTACATTCCCATTCAACCACTACTTTGCACTATTTTTACTTATTGCCTAACCTTGAACTCTTGAACTAGAGTATTTGAGTAATTGAACTAGAGTCTTTAGTGCTCTTCCTGATTTTTGGAAAACTGACATTTTACATGATATATTGTGTTTTCGTCCTCCAAACTTGTTGTAACTAGTTGGAATTGCATCAAAACATATCTAGGTCTTCCGGTGGCTTAACCTCAGCTTTAGCTTACTCAAATGTAGACAAAATATCACACTGACAAATCGATTAATTAAAATAATAATAATTAGGGCTTCCTTCTGTATATGCTATTATAAATGTTACCAGATTGAGTGTATTTCTAAGGTTTCTATGAGTATGCATTTTCCCATTACATCTCGAATGGCTCAAACTTTAAACCACAACATCTCGTGACAGGACCAGAAAGCCAGAAAAAATCTGACAATTATTCTGGGACGATATTCATTGCAACAGAAAATCTCAATGTTGTTACTTGCTCTGGTCTTATCTGGCTTTGACCCCAGTGGCTCCGGTCTCCTGGACTTTCCCGGAGTGTGTTTAGTTAGCGCTGCACTCACTCCCCAGGCTCGATCCACTCCGAGCTCACGTCTCCTGTTTGTTTGGGTCCATTGTGAAAAGCCTTTGCTGGATGTCACACTATCTCTCCCTCCATCTCCCAAAGCGCTGCAGGGGAATCCTCTTTTGTTCGTTTATCCAACCAGTCCAACTGCATTCATGTACACGCATTCATATATTTGATGAAAAAAATAACTGAAGAATTGCATGGAGCTAGAAATTGACACTATGTATTTTTTTGAGTGATAAGGTTTCTGTAAGATTTTTTTCTACCATCAGTCTATGAATTTCAAATCTGATGGAACAAATTATCTGACTTTATTATTTGTATATATTATCTGACAAATTAGCACTTATTATTTCACAGTGCTATGAATTTGAGAGCTTGACATTAGGCAAGGCAAGTTTATTTGTATAGCACAATTCATACACAAGGCAATTCAAAGTGCTGAACATAATCACAGTACATTAAAAATAAAGATAAAAATATAAAATCCCTCAGTTGTAGCACAGCTAAACAGAACTGTTTTTAACCTGGTTTTAAACATTGTCAGAGAGGAGGCCTGTTTCACATCTTCAGGAAGACTGTTCCAGATTTTAGCAGCATGAATCTGAAAAGCAGCCTCCCCATGTTTAGTCCTGACTCTGGGCACTAACAGGAGTCCAGTCCCTGTGCTCCTCAGAGTCCGGGCTGGTTCATATGGGACTAACATGTCACTAATATATTTTGGTGCGAGGCCATGGAGAGACTTGTACACAAGCAGAGCTGTTTTAAAGTCTATTCTCTGAGCCACAGGAAGCCAGTGCAGAGACCTGAGAACTGGACTAATGTGGTCGTACTTCCTGGTTCTTGTCAGGACTCGAGCTGCTGCATTTTGAATGTACTGCAGCTGTTTTACAGCCTGTTTGGACAGACCTGTGAGCAGGCCATTGCAGTAGTCTAACCTACTGGAGACAAATGCATGGATAAGAATCTCCAAGTCTGCTTTAGACACTATGTTTTTGATCCTGGCAATGTTTTTTAGATGGTGTAAAGCTGCTGATAAATAAACATATCATTGAATATTTTAAAGGCAAATATGCAATCTCAAATTACAGATTTTTTTAGTGACTGAAATCCAAAGACAAAAATATTCAAACATGCTTTTCATGGTTAAAAAATTCAATAGGAAAAATTCAATCTCAATTAAAATTCTAAATCCAATTTTTTTTACATAAAGGTCTACAATACAGAGAACAGGCACAGATGAAATTTGTCCCCTGCATTTGACCCATCCTGCAATGTCGCTGTGTCTTGGTCAGGCTGATTTGACCTATTGCACATGTCTTTAGTTGTAGGGGAAATCTACACAGACACAGGAGATACATCCAAACACCACCTTGAAAGGCCTTGTTCCGACTGGGATTCGAACCTGGGACCTTCTGAGAGGATTGAGCCCTAACCTCGCTCCCACAGTGTTGCATGAGGTCCTGTTTTTTTTGCACATTTCTCCATTGTGAGATCAGTAAAGAGTATCTTATCTTATCCTGCCCTTTTTTCATTCTTTTCCTTTTTTACTTGGTCCTTTTGACACTTATAATCTGTAGATATTGTTTCGTTCCCAGGCGCTGCTCTTACAGAAGTTGCTTGTTGTGTTTGTTTAGTTGTTTAGTCCACATCTGCTTCGACGTCATCCACGATAAGCATCTCGGTGACGTTCCCGCTGACTCAGGCCTGCGACTGTGATTACAGGATACACTTTTGAGGCCTCTTCCTTCAAACGTCTCAAATCCCACAGACACAAGGGCAACGTATATTTTGAGACGGGTTACACTTGTTTTGCTGTCACATGTTTAGCCGCTGGCGTATTACAAATTGCCTCCTCATAAACAGCTGTTGGGGCTGGTTTCTGTCGCTAGACCCTCCCTTGTGTGAGTCACTGAATGTAAAGGCGTGTTTTTGTCATTTAACCTAGTTCTACTCTTTTATTTTTACACATATTTTCCCAAAAGGCTTGTTTTTTAATATACTTTTGTTTCACTGTTGTTTCTCATGGGCACAGTCCTCCACACACAGATATGAGTGAGTTTCATTTAATTTCTTCCCATTCTTTTTTGGTGTAGTACTAACATTTTAAAATGGATTTGGATGCTCATGAATATATATATTTTTTCATATTTTATTTTCATATTTTATTTAACAAAATGTAACAGATACAGTTTTCGTCATAATACATTTTTCCAGTGATGGGCTTATAGTACAGTCCTATGTCACCATTTATAAACAAATTATGCCCATATATAAAGGTAAACCAAAATGGTAAAAGAAAGGAAAATTAGAGTACAGAAAAATAAAAATAAAAACTGGAGTAGTGTACATGGGGTAAACGGATACAATAAATGTTCCCACAAATGGGGAAAAAGTCACAGAATATCTTAAATACTCTGTCAATCCAGCCGTCAAGAGAGGGCCGTGTGGGAGTCAGCCATCTCGTAGTAATAATCTTTTTACTTGCTGCAACTTTCTGTCACGTCTTCTTTCCAGGAAGGTTAACTTTACCCAAATACTCACAGTTAAAAGGAATTCCAACACCAAACACTGAACTCAGGCTTATCGAATATACTTCTTACGTCATACTAAGTTGAATACACCGTGATTGTCTTATGTCCTTACTTATTTTCAAGTTAAACATGATTGTAAAAAATTCTCAGGTCATTGGTTCTAGTATCGATATGAGCTCTATAGAGTATGTAATTTTGATATTGTTTTTACCATAAAATACATATTCACTTTTTGTTTAGACGCCTAGTTTTATCAGATGAGGCCGCACCAGTAGCTCCATCACAAGTCCTCTATATGGCTCTATACTACTACTGTATGTCCTCAGCTGCCTGGACTTGAGTATTTTTCTTGGACGGTGGATCATCTGAAAGTTCAATATACAGTATATATATATATTATTCAAAACAAAAGTCTGCAATAGCTTATTTTATTTATTTATTTTAATCGTTGGAGGTTTTGCTTCTGTGATATGTCATAATTTCATCTGGTTTGCTAAGTATAAGAACCCTCATTTCTGAATAATTAATTCTAGTTTATCCCCACCTCTATGTTCTTTGTAAATGTATCTGAATTCTGACACTTGCATTGTTCTTTTTTAGTATGATAAACCAATTGAAAACAGCCTCTCTTTTGAGAATAATAGTCAATATAATGTTGAGCTGTTCAAAACCTTAATAATGCATTGATGTAAATTGATATAGGACTATTTATTGCGCAGTAAGTCTATTCCCCACAATTTTCCTCAACATCACAGCAGACCAAGTATCTTTTGTGGCCACTTTTTCCCAGGTTTATCTTGGCCTTGGCTGTGCCTCAGCGCCTGGCACAGACTGTAGATCTGAGTCAGCTGTGGTGTTATAAAAACAGGATTTGCAATGAGGACTGCTCTCATAGATGTCTTATACCAATTGACTTTACTGTATAAACCAGTTGCAAGTGAAACATTAAATTAAACCACGCGCTGACTTTGCTGCTAATCCCTCAATGTAGACATCAAATTCACCTGGGTAATATATTATGTTTTACAGAATAATGCATTTCTTCTTTAAATGTGTTTTGTCTTTCTTTCACAGAAGCTACCTTCAATGACAGCTCTGGGTCCTATGCCTTTGACCTGGATCAGACCGAGGACCAAACCCAGGACTCGTTCAGTGGATCCCCACCTCCATCCCCTCGATTCCGGTCTAAGAGCCGCAGCAGCCGAGACACACAGTCCAGCGGGTCTCTGGAGTCGGCTCTCTCGGTAAGGACCATTCAATTACAGCATTTGTGTCAGGAAATTAGTGATTGATTGTCAGCTCTATAATATTTTATTTGTGGCACACACATTTTTTAAATTAGTAATCTTGTTCAAACAAAAGACAAGTAATCAAACAAGTTGGCGCTATGGCTATGCTACCTAATATGATTAATGAGCTGAATGCCTCAAGTAAAATACCTCCTTTTTTAAACATGTAGACGGTGGAATCTGTAGCTCACACAAACCTTTAATCAAAGTGAATCACAACAGCAGCAATGCACAGCAGGAGAGTGGGCTGAAATTCACATGGGGTAAATGAAACTTTTGGTGTTGGGTTTTGTGCTGTTGGAGTCAGCTGCATTTCTAAGGAGAAGAGACTTGTCAAGTTTTGGTTGAAAAATTATGTGAGGGAGGATTAGTTTCAGAGACTTATCAGATTAATGATCCAATTTCAAGTTTTCAAGTTTGATAGCCTGTTGCTTTCATGTGGGTCAGGCGAAAAGTTTTACAAATCTACACAGAAGACACACAAGGAACAATACTTTGCATAATGACAGCGACAGCGTAACAAGCCGCGAGACAAGAGTGAAGCTCTTACGTCAATGTTTGAAAAAGGGAAAGAAAGTTAGTGCAAAGCTCTTACCTTTTTTCTAAAGTTGTCCAGTGTCGGCTTACTTTTCTTAAGCTACACTGTTTAAACAAATAGCTTCCTTTTCCCACTCTTTCAACATGGGTCGAAGAACAGCGTAGTCCTGGATTCTAGCCTGACCTTCCGTGGGAGTGGAGTCCTCCCTGAAGTTTCTAACTGTTTTATCCACACTGGGTTTTTCAGTCGTTCCTTGCTGATGCAGGAGGCTCTAAGGAAAGTGATGATCCGGGACATTAAAGGACATTTATGGACATTTATAGACATTGGTCATCCCGCGCCCCAGACCAATGGCTCTATGTGTTATTATTGCATTCCTGTGTTCAAACTGTTTGATTCTGTCGTCTGTTGTTGGCAAATTGATTAGTTTGTAAAGTCCTCTGAGACGACTGCTGTTGTGAATTAGGGCAATACAAAAATCAATTGCATTAAATTGAGGTGTAAACACCTACTGTCTCTCTGCCACAGGACAGCTGTGGCTTCTTTCAATCTTGCTTGAAAACAGAGGCCCACTATAACAAACATTGTCACATGCACTCGTAGCTTCTTATTTTCTTTCTTCATGTAAGGTCTAAACTTTTGTCTTTCCTGTCTGCCTTTTTGCTGTAGGTTGAGTTGGATCAGGAAAAAGGACTGGAAATGCGGAAGTGGGTTTTGTCGGGAATTCTGTCCAGTGAGGAGACATACCTCAGTCACCTGGAGGCACTTTTAATCGTACGTCTACATCTGTAAAGTATTATTGTTCAGTTATGGTTCATGCTCAAATCACATGTGTTGGTTCCTTGAAATGGCACAATATTAACCGGCATATACTTATAAATGCTCTTCCCTCACTTAACCTTTTTCCTCGTTTTCAGCCGATGAAGCCACTGAGAGCAGCGGCCACCACCTCTCAGCCCATGCTCACAGTTCAACAGATCGAGACCATCTTTTTCAAAGTCCCAGAGCTTTACGAGATCCACAAAGAGTTTTATGACGCGCTGCTGCCCCGAGTCCAGGACTGGAGCCAACACCAGTGTGTGGGCGACCTCTTTCAGAAGCTGGTATAGTTCAACTGCATTTTTCATGAAAAGTAATGCATTATTTTATTATTATTTACCCAAAAACATGGTTGTTCTATGCAAGCTACAAACCGGAGTACTTTCTAAATCAGGGTTTTTTTTACCTTTTTTACTTTCAGGCCTAATCTTTATAGTCCAAAGTTTCCCAGGAGCTCATTAGATTCTTTGTTCGTCCCACAGTGGGGAAATGTCAGTGTTGCATCACCAGTTTCAAAACAGTAGGAATGAGGAGCACAGTGCAAAAGATAAACAATAGCTAAAATAAAATATTTAACTTTAGCACATTAAAGAAGCAAGTATCAATCAATCAATAATAAAGCAGATCCACCTAAAGGGATCATCACAAAGACTTTAATTAAAGGAGCAGTATGTAAAAATCTGGCTAAAAGTGGTACTGCAGCCTCTCCCACTCACTCTGACTCAGGTTGCCAGATATGCAGATGAATCCACCTGGGACCATAACAGCTGAATATACAAGAATTTTGTCAACACCTTTTTCACAAAGACCTCAATAGAAATCCTGGTTTTATTCCTTGTTTTGTCATTAATGATTAGAGAATCATAACGAGACCTTATGAATGCCTTTTGACATATTAGTGCAATTTAATGATGACTTGACATGAAAATCGTACATATTGCAACTTTAAACATGTGTAAAACCTGCACACATACCCTTTTTGTGTTTTATATTTTTACTTCAAAAAACTCTCCAAACTCTACGCATTTTGTCACACTGTTGATACTCCCTCCCCTCCTTTAAATGTCCCGTATCATTATTAGCATGTAGGCGTTCGGAGCTGCTTGCAGTGCACACGTGAGGAGAGCCCCTGCAGTCATGTCCCGCTCAGATAAAAGCTCCACGCTCCACACGACGCGCAATAAAAGAAGAGAAACCGCTGCTGAATAGGACCAAACTCTGAGTGGACACAGAGCTGAGAAAAGGGGCCGTGGCACTGATGATGTAACTCAGTCCTTCTTAAACATGTTGCTTTTGCTGTAGGTTCTAGAACGCAAAAGGTTTTCTTCTTTCTAAGTGGAACCTGGCAGAAAATAATTGAGAAGCACTGATGTAAATATACAGACATAACAAGAAAACAAATACTATATTCTACCTTTTCACTGTTTTTAAGTCTTTGATGATCAACTCTGGCCGTGTAGTTTTTGTCCAGGTAGATTCTGTTCAAGTTGGCGTCTTCTGTTAACGCTCGGTCAGTCCACTCCTAATGTACAGTTCCAGTGTTGTAAAATAAAGTGTTGGCTCCAGAAATGTATATGAAACATCCATCCATCCATCCATCCATTTTCTACCCTTTAATCCATTTCTGGGTCAGGGGGGTGGCAATCAGAGATGCCACCCAAGTCTCATAGCACCAGCCCCTCACTGACCCTCTGCAGGTGGTGAGTCCACAGGAGGACGGCTGCTCTCTGAGTGTGAGCATAGCCTTGATCTTTCAGTGGGGGCTTTGGGCAAAGTGGGGTTAAGTGTCTTGCTCAAGGACACAACGACAGCAGTCATCAGTGGGAGTCGGTTGAGAAGGTGTAGAGGTGGGAATTGAACCCACAACCTTCTGGCCTGAAGGCCAATGCTCTACCAACTGAGCTACTGTCGCCCCTTGTTATATGAAACAAACAAAATGTAAAGCACTCAGACTGTATAAGAAAAAGAGGACTACTAACAGCAATAAATAAGATAAAAAATATGTAAGAAAAGTTTAGTGGGAAGCCAGGTCGCTGTATAGAAAGAGTTTTAGATTCAGGAGCACATATTGTATTTATCTGAGCTACGTACTTTGGCGCCTAAATGCTTAAATAGTCATGTTTATGGGATAAAAGGAACAGAAATGTGTATACAAATGTGTTTTTTAACCAAGCCCAGAGTGTTGTCTGACTGTATGAACTCCATGCTCCACTTTTCTGTGCAAATGTACAGAGCCAACATTCATATGGTCTCCTTTCTCCCTTTAGGCCAGTCAGCTCGGAGTGTACAGGGCCTTTGTGGATAACTATAAAGTTGCCGTGGAGACTGCAGACAAGTGCTGCCAGGCAAACGCCCAGTTCGCCCAGATATCTGAGGTAAGAACTCTGCTTTCATGTAGGAGAGAGTGTTATAATGAGGACACAACATGCTAAATCGACTTTTCACGGCTTTTGGTCATGTTACAGGCGCCCTGAGGGGTATGAAAATATATACAAAACAAGGTTATCATTCTTTCAGTAGTAGTAAGTCAAAGTAGTGTCCAACCACAGATATCTGGGTGTGCAGATGGACAATAGGCTGGACTGGAGGAGCCACGTGGATACAGTCTACAGCAAGGGTCAAAGTAGACTCTATTTTCTAAGGAGCCTGTGGTCCTGTGGAATGTCTACCACACTGTAATGGCCAGGGTACTCTTCTTCACGATAACATGCCGGGGTGGGGGATGCGTTTTCAGGGGATAAAAATAGATTGGACCTGATTATTAAAAAAGCAGGCTCTGTAGTGGGGTGTCTACTCCCACAGCCCAGCGGGTCACAGAGAAACGGCACCTCGATAAGCTCAGATCCATCAGGAGCCATCCCTCGCACCCTCTGCATGCTCTGGAGGTGATCAACAGCAGTCATTATGAGCGCCATAGTTGTTTGCTTTGTAGTGTCAGACTTGATTTCTATATCAATGAATATCTAATTACAGCTCAAAATTGGTATCCAGTCTATAGTCTAGTACGTTTTCGGAAATAGTTAAAAATGACAACCCAATCTTGTCATATTCAGAGCAATTCAGGCATGTTTTACCCTTGATTTTTTTTTTTTTCATGGAATGTGAAACAGACAAAAGATTGAGCTGAAACTTTCTAAGAATTTGAGGACCATCAAAATCAATAACAGAAATATATAAAAAAAACATTTGTAATAATAATGTAAGGACACATTTGCGGGAAGCCATTTAAGTTCATTTAGGAGCTTGAAATAGACTTGTTTCTTTTATATAATACTAAATGGATAATGTAATGTAAAGCAGAAAGAACCTTGTTATTTCTTCTTAAACTGATCTAATCTTATTGATCGTTTTGTTTTTGTCTTTGGCAGAGTCTGAAAGTCAAAAGCACGAAGGATTGCAAAGACCAGTCGGCAAAATACTCACTTGAAAGTAAGTGTTGTCATAGTAACATGTTTATCGTATTGCCTTCACATGTACACTTCCCAGCTCTAACTCGGTATGACTTCATTGTCCCTGTTGAATTAATTAAATAAAACTATTGGTACGCGGTAAGTGTTTATACTTCTACAAAACCCCATTTTTCTCGAGACTAGTGAAAAAGTCACAAACTGCTAACTTATTACAACATGGGTCCAAGTGTGTTTTTTTAATAGTTATTATTCCTACAGAACAACGTTGTATGAGTAAAGGTTTATACTCCATCAGGGATCATAACCAATGCCGATTTGTATCACTTTAGCCTGAATTAATACCAATATTCAAAACCAGTATAGATGCTCCCATCACAACTGTGCTGTCCTGTTTTTAAAAAGTCTTTGGTAAATTAAAAAGGTCACACACATGCACTAAAACGCCATCTAAACTTATAATTGATCAACAACAATAAACAAATATACATTAACGAGAATCCAGAAATTTAAAAGCTAATTAGCAAACATATAAAAATGTCTGTTTTTCTTTCTCAGCTCTTCTTTACAAGCCCGTGGACAGAGTGACACGCAGCACACTCGTTCTACATGTAAGTCGGAGGCTCAAACGCATGAATCAGAATATTTCCTTTTGATTTGATTTGCATTAAACGTTCGGGATGTTGTGCTCCCAGGACCTCCTGAAGCACACGCCCTCGTCCCACCCGGACCTCCCCTTGCTGCAGGACGCTCTCCGGATCTCACAAAACTTTCTGTCCAGCGTCAACGAAGAGATAACCCCACGTCGGCAATCCATGACCGTTAAGAAAGGAGAGGTTAGTGCCCATTTAAGGACATTTAAGATCATTTATGGACATTTGTCATCCGCCCCCTATGGACCAATGGCTCCTGTGTGTTTGTTCTTATTACATGTTCTGTGTTGGAACTTTTTGATTCTCTGATCTGTTGTTGAGGAATCGACAACGTTGCAAAGTCCTCCGAGACGACTGCTGTTGTGATTTAGGCCTACACAAAAACAAATTGTGAAGAATAATTTTACACAAAAGCTTGATTTCATTTCTGCAAAAGGTCTTGGTATTGGCGAGTATTGGCCTATCAGTGTCTACTATATTGGTCACATGGTCTTGCAACTTAGTTTGAGCTACCATGGCATGTTATACCTCATTACATGCCATGGTATGTAATGAGGTATACCATCACATACCTGATCGTATTCTCTCAGCATAACAACCACATCCTTTATTTGACTCTATACAGCTTAAACCCAAACATTGGAAATTGGGAATAATTGCATTTTAAAACAACCTCCTCCATTTCTGTTTCAATCATGTTACAACTCTACTCGTTTTGTTCTAAAAAATGCCTAGAAAGATTATCCAAACCCATATTTATTAAATGTAATTGTTTGTTCAACATTTGGATGAGCCATGTCACTATATATTGGTATAACTTTATGAGCAGTATGATGATAATTGCAGTATCGCCAGTTTGTAATATTATGGCATCGGGAACCGTGTATTGCATATTGTATTGTACTCTATACAATAATACAATACAATACAACTTATTCTTGTATAGCCCTAAATCACAACAGAAGTCATCTCATAGGACTTAACAAAACCATTGAAATCACCAACACAGATCAGAGAATCAACAGTTAAAACACATAAAGAATATAGAACACATGTTGATAAATGTCATACATGTTGTAGAATGTTAAAGTGTCCTGGATCAACACAGTCCTTCTAGTTGGCCACTAACCGTCCAACAGACCCTCTTGCATCAACAAGGAAAAACTCATAAGAAAACCCAGTGGGAAAAAGTGAGAAACCTCGGGGAGACCCATAGTTTGAGAAAGGGATCCGCTCCCACGAACGGACGGGCCATAGATCCAGGACCTAAGCTACAGAACGTGGACCAGTGGCCGCAGAACGTGGACAGGTCCAGTGCAGGACTGAAGCACTCTCAGGCGGGTTGTGCAGGGCAGTCCGCAGGTGTAGATGGAGGAGGCCAGGCTCAGAGGTCCCGTCATCGTACCATGAAACAGACAATGGGACAACGGGTGAATAGCAATGAACAAACTACAGTCAAAATCCTAATAACGCTACACAGATAAAGTAGGAAGGAGGAGAGGATAGTGCTCAAGTTATTGTGAGAGATTTCCAGCTCTAATTGTGTGACTTCATAGTTTTCTCCTTAATATTTTTTCATCAGCACCACTTGTTATATCAGTATTGAATCAATTTGCTAATCAATGTTAGAAACATCTTTATGGTAGATTTTACGAACGATCTTTAAAATTGTAAAAAAATTTAAAAAAATTTAAAAGCGCCCTATAAATAAAGATTGATTGATTGATTGATAAAAGTGCTTTGTGTGACCCTGGTCCGTGAAATTCCCGCACATATAAACTGCTTGAGTGTGTGACGTGTGATTCTGTTCACATCTGTGCCACGCCATCACTGCAAGGACTTTGACTCTGTAAATATTGACAGATTTACCTTTTTAAGTCATGAGCTTATTATGAAATCTTGGACTTTGAAATGCCGAACATTCATTGCTCCATTTGTCATTCCTTCGTTGTTTACTGAACTGTTGAGCTTTCTGGACTGGGTGAAGTTTAGTATTTACAGACGCACATATGAACTGGCAGAATACAGTCTGCAGAAGAAACTTTAACGCTGGCAACGCACTGCACTTAAATTGAGGATTTCCTTGGACCTGTTTGTCGTCAATTTAGATCAAAAATAGTTCCGCTTGCAAGAAACAATGCAAAGTAGTCCCCAAACATTCTTCTCAGCATCAGTCATTTTAATAACTAACATTCACACTTGTCACAGGTATGAAAAATGTTACGAGCTGAACTTTTGTTTTTGTGTTGACAAATTTTAATAGAAATTTCAATTGATTATTTTGATGAATCCATTACCTTGTTAAATCAACTCATTCTAAATCACATGTAATCAACAAATCAGGGCTCAGACCATATCTTTAAGTTGACTAATAAGTTCTTTACTCATTCATGCTCTTACACATAGATTTATCTGATTTGATAAAGCTTTTATTGAGTAAATTCCAAGCCAAATACATGAATGTTCCTCCGACTTATTCTCATTGTGAAACAGGGACATGAACTTTTAGCATATTCACAATGATTCACTCCTCGGACGTCTTTTCAGTTTGACGCGGGCTCAGAGTTGTGTTTATAATTCACCTTTTGCAGTGCCTGTAACGGTGCAGTGGTGTTTTGGTCATGAAATGATTCAGGTTGTTGGTGACTCACCCCTGCCTGGCTCAGACCCTGAAGGAAGTTTAACAATAAAGCAGCCCAGGACAAAAGCATATCCTCCCATCCTCTCCCATTGAAGACCATTTTAACATTCCCAGAAAAGTCCTGTAGTTAATGCAGTATCAAATATCCTTCACACGATTTGACTGGAGATGATTGTAATAGATTAGATTTGTTTTTCTTTGCTCTTGGTTTGCGCTCGCTTGAGGAAAGTCTGGAGCTGGAGCAGACATTAGGGTGATTTGTTGCTGCTTAGAAGTGTCCTGAGCAAAGAGGAGGATGTGAAAACAAAGCCGCTCGGAGACAATGTGGGAAAAAGGTTTTGGTTTGATGTTTCTAGTTCTTTAGAATCTACTTGACCTGGCCATTTCCTTCAGGAGAAACTTGTCAATTCCATTAATCCATTTTGGGCTATAATTGTAAGAATGTTGTTGTTAGATTAGTATCTTAACATTTGATTCTCAGATAAAGAGATTCTCACCGTGGGGACATTTCAGTGTTGCGTTCCAAGTTACAGTACAGAACAGTACGAATGAGGAGCACTCAAACACAAATTAAGTGATTATTAAGTATAGTACAATTCTATAATAAAAATCTCCATCTTTAGTTTATTATAGAACAACATATAAACATCAATGGTATAAACGAATGTATACTATTTGTACCTGTGAATCTTTTGTGATGGGGATTCTTCTAGTTGCCATGGTGATGTCCCTCACATAGGCTGTATATATATATATTATCAGTTGACAGACCAAGTGCTGATGTCACCCATAGTTTTTGCAGAATGCAGAAGAAGACTATTTTAACATAAGCTAGCTGAAGCCGATTTCCTTATATGGGCATTTGTTCCCGGAGCGTGCTAAGGCAAGCTGGAGTTTCCCTTGTGAATGGAGGCCTCTGATTGGTCCATCTTCATGCCTCATATTGTATCTAAATTTACAAAGACAATATCCAAATCTAAACGCGCTAAACCGTTTTTGAAAGCTCCTAACTCAGTGACCGTTTGTGACGCACTCACCATTTGAAGAGTTTACTTTTTAACGGGTTAGTCAATAGGGGCCAGAGGAAGTTTGTCCATGAGCACTTCCCTATTTGCATTCATTGGGCTAGAGCAGTGTCTCCCAAAGTGGGGTCCGCGGCCCCCTGGTGGGCCGCGAGGGTACTGCAGGGGGGCCGCGGGAGGTCATAAAAAAAATTATATCATTATTTAATGTTAAATTTTGTTTGTAATATTAAAATATTTGTGTTCATTATTTGACTTGAATAATCCACTGTAATCATTTTTGTATTACAATGTTTGTAGCAGAGGCTATTTCCCCAAAATAAAATAACCAGAAGAGCCTATTCTTAATGTTGTCTTCTTGGTTATTATTTTGGGGGGCCACGCAGACCCGTCAGATTTTTAAGGGGGCCTCGGTGTTACTGAGTTTGGGAATGGCTGGGCTAGAGGGTTAGCATTGTCCATCTATGTACAGTCTATGGTCCCCTATTTTAAGTTTAAGGTAAATTAAACATAATTAATGTGAATCCTTTAAAAGATAGAACCAAAATAAATCCTTTCTATGTTGAGTTTAACCCCAGCCCTAGTGCACGGTGTGATTATACCCCTCCTATTCTCTGCAAACATGATTTCAAAATAAGAGATGCCAACATAACCATAATTCACCCCCTTGGCGATATTTTCTTATTTGTTTTCATGCTTGAGCCGCCTCCCACAAGACATTAAGTCCCTGCGTGTTTTTCCCACGTAGAGACAAATACAATGACAATAGGGAAGTTTGTTTTTGTCTGTGGCAGCCGCCGTCTTTCTTGGTTTCTTTGTAATTATAATCAAGTATTCAAACGGAGCAGAGCTGTTTACTCATTGATTGCTTGCAGTGTTTAAGAATACTTTGCACATGTATTGAGCTACAGAACACATACCTTTTCAGACGTGTTTTGTGGCGTTTTGTATTCTGAGTAGCTGGAATACTGTCATGTTTATCAATGCATATTTGTATAGACTGATAGATTATGGACTAATGAGCAAATTGTAACGAATGCAGTTGTTTTAAGTCAAGACTGTCAAACTCAGACTTTTTAGTGGCCACAGAAATTCTTTTCATTTATGTAATTAAATTGTAAAAATTATGAGCTTCTATGGCATGTTACACTTCATTTTAAAGCTACACATTTAATTTCTAAAAATGTGAATCCTATTTTGAAGTTAAAATAGTTCAATGTAAAAAGATAAATCATAGGCCTAATCAGTCTTCAATTACATCTATTTTTTATAATTGTTCGAGCTTTGGTTTAACCCAAGGGAGGAGGTGAATTTGAAAATGACTGGCTGCAAACACAGCCTTGTGATGTTGAATGGTGAGTAAAGGCACAGTTGCATGTTTCTGCTCGGAGTCCATGATATTAGCGTGGATTAATCTACAAACAACTCCAGGTCTGTTTTTGATGTGGGAAAAACTTATAATTCGACTTATATTGTAAATCGCAATCACTTTTACCCGGAAAAGACAATGGATGTTTTGC